GGACACTGCAAGCAACTAAAATGGATGGTAAACTGGGCAGTATCCAGATTAAACCTGACCAAATACAAATAGTCAATCCCATAATGATCATGTTATTTATACCACTGTTTGATTACATAATATATCCTGTATTTGCTAAAGTTGGCTTGTTCAAAAAACCACTTCAACGAATGGTGGTGGGTGGTGTATTGGGTGGCCTGGCGTTTGCTATTTGCGGTTTTTACCAGTTATCAATTGAGAAAGCGTTGCCACCAACGCTATCTGGTCACTCTATTCACTTGTCTATAGTAAATGGATTAAATACGGACATCACTGTAAAAAACAACCTATTATTCACCTCAAAAAGTTTATCATTGGATAAGTACAACATTCATACGATAGCGAACGTAGATATAAACGAGTTAACTTCGAAAGGGTTAACGTTTAAAATTACACTAAATGCTGGGGCAGAGATTCCTAGATGTTTACCAAACAAGGAATATTCCCTGCAATTAAGCCCAGGGTTTCAGAGAAGTGGCATATTATTTATTACGGATAGTATTTGCGATCCGAAAAACATGCTAAAATTACTGGAATTCACCAAGAACACAGACCTACTCGCTAAACCGGAAGGGGGCGGTGCGTTGGCCGCTGTTGTTTATAATATACGTGACTCAATTTCTAAACCGACATTAAATATTAAGAATGACGCATATATTACATTCAAGTTTAAAAATAGTGAATTTACGGAATATTTTAATTCTACTGCGGATTTTAGTCACCCTATAGTCACTGGCGATACTAAACGCTATGAAGGTTACTTGCCTTATAAAAAGGAGTTAGATGTGCACACAGGGGGCGAATATGAGTTGTTATTACTTGACGATGGTGATAAAAGTGCCGCTCACGAGGCAATTAAGGGTATGGATCTTCGTCAAGGAGGAGCCTATGTGTCCATTGTTTATACGGACGACACTGTAAGTATTTACTAGGTCAAATAAGGTTATTAATTGTTGTTTTTTGCATCAGGGTAAATTAGTTGGCGTAACGCACAATGTTGTCTCGCCGAACACGCTGTCAGTATTTTTGCAAGTAATACAATACTCTGTGTTAACAGCGGCTGAAATTATGTTTTCAATTACCGGGCTCGAATTTTCATATTCTCAAGTATGTTTTAAATTTACATACATAATACAAATTAATTGTATATAATATTTTACCATGCTGTGTACATTAAATATTAGGCTCCTGCTAGCATGAAATCAATAGTATCGGCCGCTTGGTGTTTAACCGTGTCATTTGGCGATTTAATCATATTTATTATATCATCGTCAAAATTATTTGAAAAACTGGTAAACATTTATTTATATAAAAATTTAGATATATTAATTATTTAAAAATAATTTTATCGTGTTAATTAATCATTTATTTATTTTTTAGTCAAACGAATTCTTTTTCTTCGCTGGTCTAATAGTAGCCGATATGGTTGTGTTTGCTATAATTGCCTACTTTTATAAACCATATCATGGTAAAAATACTGATAATAATGACATTGATGGCAATGATGGCAACTCTGTTGATGAGAATGGTTTAAATAAAAAAAGTTAATTTAAATAATCTAGTTGTAAATAGGTTATCAATTTTTTTATTTGTTTTTGTTATTAATTATAATATCTTATATCTACTTATGTTAAGACTATTTAATAGATATCTTAGATACTAATAAATCTTATTAATTTAAAAACACTTTAAAATATATCATTCATTAACATAGATAAAAATTGCAATAAATTAACTTATTTTGCATAATAATCAGTATATAAATCTATCATGTTTATAAATATTCTAATGTGATTAGATTATTATGTTGATGATTTAAAACTAATTGCGTATAAAACTAAAAATATAAATATAAATATCTTATAAAACTCAACATTATAAACCTAACTCAACCAATAAACTACTATTGTTCAAGAACAATGGATGTTGATCCTGGGTATTATGAAAAAACAAATGTTTACCCGCGTGAATGTGCCGATAAAATAGTAGCTGATCTTGTTAAATCGCAAATGTTTGTATATTTAATTTCATTTAACAATAATATAAATTAATTAAATAAAATAAACTATTTTTAAGCAATCAAAAAATTTTAGGCAATACAACATAATAGTGGACATCGGGTGCGGAACTGGATATTTGTGCGAACTGTTGGCTCAATCGGTGAAACACAAGCGTATTATTGGTATAGATTAGGAATGCTTAAAACAACTATGACTCTATGTAAAACTCATAGTAAAACACCCCTAAGCTCATAGTAAAACGCACCTAGAGCACATTCTTAGTATAGATATTGATCCACAGATGATATCGTACGCCAATACTAACCACAAAAGTGTCCAATCAATCAACTATTGGCTGCAAGACATGAGTCAACCCTGGGATGAGTTAAGTCCGGAGATACGGGCCCTCGTGTCCAGTGTATCGCTAATTGTGTCAAACATTGCCATACAATGGTTTGCCGATAAGCGTCGGTTCATGGATGTTGTGAACAAACTATTGGCCCCAAAGGGCCACTTTGTTGCCAACTATGTACTAACACCTGATATAATGGCCCGGGTGTCCGACGACCAGCACAAACAATATGACCTCCACTACGAGATACCGACAATGGATGAGCAAATAAACATGATGAAATTAGCATGCATTGACGCCGGGGTATTTGTTGAAAAATTGTTTCATTATGATCATCATTGGCGCCTATTGCGGACAAACATTAACTATGGTAATTAATAATTATGTCTATTGTGACTATTTTACTTTACATAAAGTTAGATAATTCGACAGTATAATTAGTCAGGTATCTATCGAGTTAGTTATAAAATTACATTTTTATAACCTGTAATTATTATTAGGCCTTCCTTGATAACTTTTCTTAAAACTGACCTGATTTATCTTACCTTATTTGTTTTGCTAGAATTTAGATTAATACATTAATTTATTGGTACCTTAGAAAACTAAAGTTACTATTAATTTTTAAATATATGTTAAACTCAAAATTATAACTTTGGTGTAAAGTAGTTTTTATAATACCATAGTGCTTTTTTTTAATAATCCCACATATTTACAGTCTGTGAATAATTAATAATAAAACTATTTAAAATTATTTATAGATTTCATAATTATACGGCGTTTTGGACCCATATTTATGGTTTCCGACAAAAAATCGGCAAAATATCAATTCATACGAAACGTATTGATGGACATTATGTTACGACCCAAACCCATGGGACCACTCAATACCGTCGTCAATACACATCAATACAATGAACTACGTCAACAATGCGTTAAACACCAAGAGGGTTACATTGACTGTTATATGCCCTTGGCACATGTTAAATGCTTTAAAAAATAAATACGTCATTTTGTTTTACATTTAATATTTAAATTATTGAAATTACCAAAAGTGTCAATATTGTGTTGATTGTCACAATACATGATAAATTTTCTATTAATTTTTTGTAGCAAAAAATTTATGTAACTTAAGTGAATTGACTGTATATTAAGTTTATTAAAACAAACGGTTAATGACCACCTATGATGAAAAATAAATGACTTGTATATTTAAAATAGTGCAACATAATATAATCAATTAGAAAACAATAATTGTTTAATAAACATAATTGATAAACAAAATTAACATCAATTATTCACTAACATTATTTGGCAATACATAATATGAATATTTATTGATAATTTCTTATTAATGATTTTATTAATTATTTATTAATAATTAGTGATTTCTATGTTGTAATGTTATTTTATAATTGTTATTAACCTCGTTCATGATGTGGTAAATAATAAACTATTGTATATAAAGAAATGCTCACCACATTGAAGATTAGGTTGGTGATTTGTAAAGAATAATTAGAGTTAATTAATTAAGGATTATTTCTGTTTAACAGATTAATTGCTAATAACATGTTAGCATATATTATTGATTTGTGGCCCGTATGGGGCTTAATAATTCTTATTATACTTTACCGGTAACCATAATCTATACTAACAACTTAATAAACTAGACTTGATGATTACAAAGGTTATTTGTTAATTTTTTCACAACGTAGGTATTCAACGAGAAACTTTGACTTTTTCACTAAGCAAGGTATCGGCGGTCCCAGGCCTTGGCCCGGCGTGGGTAACCTCTGGGAGATGTATTTCACCTCGATGCCCGACTTGGAGTTGAAACGTTACAAAAAATACGGCAAACTATACGGGTAATTTAGTAGTTTAGTAAACAATTTATCATGGATATCTACAGTATGTCAACAATGAATATTAAAAGTAACATAATTTTTATTTCTTAAATTTTATTTTAGTGTATTTGAAGGCAATAAACCGATACTGAGAATCGGCGACCCGGAGCTCGTCAAACAGATTATGGTAAAAGACTTTCACGTGTTTCAAACCCGGCGCCCGGACTCTAACGCTACTCACCCGGTTAGGGATCTAGTTATACCTCAGGTGTGTTTGATTAGATATTTTACATGAGCAGTTTATTGTAAATTTAGTAATATTTGAAAGAATTACGTAAATTAATTAAAAATTAGCCCTATTAAATGTACTTTTTAAAAACTTGTACAGTTTATTTAAGTTTAATATGAAATATCAATATCCTGTTTATACAGTATATCTTTATTTTAGCTAATTTTTAACAAGCTTTATAAATCTACTAAAAGTTTAGAAAGAAGTTTAAAAGAAATATAATTTAAAAAGTAATAAAAATTATCATGATAATTAAAATTAGCAAATTTTTATAAAAACAAAAAATACAAAAAATCAATAATTACAATTTTAATATGGAATTCAAAAACAAGCAAATTAACAAAATATTTTCACACATTCATTAAGCATATATTTTAAAAATAAAGTCCCAAGGTGAATCGTGGCGGCGCATGCGCAATACGGCGACGATCAGTTTCTCGACGGCCAAACTGCGCCGAACAGCAACCGTAATAAACCGATCGGTGGACGGCTTTATGGCCGCACTCCGTGACAAATCATTGCCCAACCGCGTGGTGGACATGAAGTACTGGTACGCGACGTACGCTATGGACGTCACAGCCAACTGTATAATCGGCGCCACCACTCGGGCCTACACCGACCCCAACGACCCTATTGTAGTGAACGCGCGCAACACGTTTAAGCCCACGTATTGGCACTATTTAGCTTCAATGCTGTTTTCCAATTGGTTGTTGAATGTACTGAATATACACTCCGAGCGAAATGATAAGTCGATTAACTTTTTCTGTCAATTCACGCGAGAATTGGTCCGTTTGAAGGAAAAGGAGGAAAGAGAGGGCTCGTCAATGGGCGGCGAGTTTATCGACTTTATTAGTGCGCTTCGGAGACGCAATCGTGTGGACAGACGTCTGGACGCGAGTAATAGTAGTGAAGGTACATAAGGGTTAGGAGAGAGAGAGAGAGAGAGAGAGAGAGAGAGAGAG